TCTGAAAGCATGATAGGTGGAATTGAATATTCATAAATACGAATTATGTGCATCAGTCTCTCTCCTAGACTAGATGACCTTAGACAAAGTTCCCTATCTATTCTTCCATTACTGAAGCAAGAGTAGAAATGCAAGCCTTTAAAAGTCCACTGGCAGTAGTACAATGGAACAAGTAGATATTTTTCTGCACTCATTTATTTTTAGAATATAAAAACAGCGAGCCTCTGCTTTCACATTTATCTGTCCAAACCTACTGAAATTTGCACTTTGAAGTTCCAGCTTTGCAAGTCTATCAAACAGGTCATATTTTCTTGTTTTGATCAGAGGAATTCTATCTTTCACTGAATGAAAATATGTACAAACAATTGTTATTTGACTGCTTTTAAAAGGTAAACAGAATCTGTATATGGAACTAAGACTTCTGAGAAAATTTACTGCTAAAAAGGCAACTGAATGCAAATTCAAAAAGAAATAGATTTATGAATACAGTTTTGAACATGCAGGACAGATGCCTATGGCAATAGGCATGTTAACAATGAATGACTTTAAAACTATTTGTTGTTTTATTTAATGGCCTAAAAACTACTGGTACTTTAAAGGGGTAGCTCACCACAGAAAATCTTGCATTGCACTGTGTTTGTATAGCATTCCATCATTACATTGTCATTGTGCTTCTGCTGTTGCTCTAGACAACAGGGATTTCACAATGGGCTCCATCGGTGCAGCAAGCACGGAATTTTGTTTTGATGTCTTCAGGGAGCTGAGAGTCCAGCATGTCAATGAGAACATCTTCTACTCCCCCTTTAGCATCATTTCAGCTCTGGCCATGGTCTACCTAGTGCAAGAGACAACACCAGGACCCAGATAGATAAGGTGAGACTTATCTAATTAAGTCCTAGTTAAGGATGAAAACCTTTGTCCTGCTCAATGGAGCCATAGCAGTTAATTATATGATACCCTGGAACTTGCATAGATCAGAAATCCGTAACCAGAGTTATCTAAGGCTGTCATCACCTCCAACTCCCGGAGTGTTAACAAATGCACCAGCCAGAAATCTTGAAACTGTATTTTAGTTTGAATTTTATCATTGTTAATAGTAGGATTCTCCAAAAGAACATGGCATTCCAGTGGCTCTTTGCTTAGAGCAAGGAAACTAGATAAAATCTCCAGAATGAGCCAAAACCCATCTCAAGTTTGCAAAATGTATCACGAATTTCCTACAGCTCTCACTTCCTTCATAGAGGAAGGTTGAATTGTTACCTGGATGAAATTTATTCTTAATAACAGCATGTAATGGAGCTGATTTCCATATGTCTACTGTGGGAAAAAAAAAAAGAGATCATCAAAGCAGACAATATTATGAACAGATATTCAGAGATGGTACAGATAGATTGACCCTTTTAGTTATATTGCCACCCAGTTACCCAACAGATATATTTCAAATCATGTGTTAATCTCAGTTGCATAACCTTTTTTGTTATACCTGTTATTTCAGCTACTATTATTTTCAATTACAGGTTGTTCACTTCGATAAACTCCCTGGATTTGGAGAGAGTATGGAAGCTCAGGTGAAGAAAAAAATTCATCTCCTTCTCTATGTCTAGTAGATAAATCTCTAGATAGAGTAGGTAGATTTCTCAGTTCCAAGCCCTTTCTGATGAGCATCTAGTGCTCTGCATCCAGCAGTTGGGGAATTCTTTGTTTGTACAAATCGAGAAAGAAGGGAGGTAAACGGTATTCAGAACAAACAGAAGATAAAACCCAGGACCAAAATACTGGGCAAATACACAAAATTGTGGATACTTGCATGCTTAGGCAAGGTAGTTGGATGATGGTGGTTAAATGGGTCTGGTTGGGAAAGATGGAAAGACTACATGATCTGCTGGAGCTAGATTACTGCAGAGGGCAGTTAAGAGTCCTGTAGAGAGAAGTATGAGGAAATTATGGAAGAAAAACAGCACAAAATGTGTATATACTAGAAAAGGACTACACCAGTATAGTTATTAGCAGCAAGAAAGATGGAACAAACTCGTTTTGTAAGCAGAAATATCTGAACTACTTTACTCTTGTCATACACTATTCAAAACCTACAAAGCACTAAAACTAGAATAACATCCCTTTTCTTTTTTTTTGTATTCAGTGTGGCACATCTGTAAGCGTCCACTCTTCACTTAGAGACATACTCACCCAAATCACCAAACCAAGTGACAATTTTTCACTCAGCTTCGCCAGTAGACTTTATGCTGAAGAGACATACGCAATCCTGCCGGTGAGTTGCTCTAAAATCTGATCCAAGACTTCTCTGTGTCAAAGTCCTACTGTTCTGTAATGCTAAAGCACTGTCAGAAGTCTAGGCTCTGCTAAAGAAGTTTTCTTGCATATGGAAGGCAGTATTCATGACTTCTTTATATCACAGCCCTAAACGTCTACAGTCTTCAGAGAACATGTGCCTAGACAAAAAAATGTTTGTACAAAGTACAGTCATGATCCAACCGTGTCATGGTATAAGTAAAGTAAAGGAAATATCAGTAATATCAGTAAAGATAATTTTGTTGGAAAGAGTTAAATCCAACCATTATTTCAGATTGTAAAACAAACATGGAAATAACTTCAGGTTCTCTAAATATTCCATAGGACACTTTCAGACCAAAATATTCCGGTTTTCCAATTGAAAGAAGCATTTCATTTGGAAATTAAAGGAAAACATTTTCAAAATAAAAACTGACAACAAGCGTACTTCGACTGAAGTGAATCAACATTTTCAGATCCAACTCAGTGCTGGAAAAGACTTGAAAAAATTGAGCATATACTGTTGCTTGAAGCAGTATATGCCAAATATTAGAATGTTTATGAGGTAGAATCATGTCTTCTTGCTGTGACTGCTTATTAAGGCTAATCAATACAGCTACAGCATATTACTCTAGTAAATATACTACAAGGCATAATATGTAGTAATTTATAGTATAGAATAGCATTTTACACTAGTATATTATTCACGTCTGTTAATTTCAGTCTTGCACTTCACATTTGCAAACTGTTTTGAAATTGTGATCTGAAAACTGCATACTCTTCCTTAACAGGAATACTTGCAATGTGTGAAGGAACTGTATAAAGGAGGCTTGGAATCTATTAGCTTCCAAACAGCTGCAGATCAAGCCAGAGAGCTCATCAATTCCTGGGTTGAAAGTCAAACAAATGGTAAGGGCAAGCAGAATGTCAGCATAGGTATTTTCCCTTCTGCCAACATATTTGAACAGCATAGGAGAGCACTTAAGTCTCGAGAGATAAATACAAAACCTCTCCTTTTGTTCTTGCTGATGGATAATAGATCAATTCTCAGATAAGAAACTATCATCATAAGGAACTATCCAGACAACCCTCTATTAAAGGACTCTCTATCTTCAGGGAATTTACAGGAATGTAATATTTCAGTCCTAATGAAAATGACAGCATTAAAACATGCTTTGTACACAGTGACAACTGGTTTCATCCTATACTGAGAATTCTGATTTCCCTCAGCCAGTATGTTTTCCTTCAGGCTTCCCAGAGATGCTGTGTACTTGTTAAGTAGGGCATGCAGTCAAAAGGCACTTGAGAAATCTTAACAGGTAAAGGCAATGTAAAACCAGACTTAAGGAATGATAGGGAGGTGTATGAAGGGAGGTATCATGATTTCTGCCCTAATGCTCTCCATGTGGTTCCTCCATTTTTTTCTAGTCTCTTCCTCACCTCCTTAAAGCATTATTTTCCCTTCTGCTGGAAAAACAGATAAAAGACAGTGGATTCTAAATGAATTCAATTTCTAATGAGATGAAAACATTGACAACCATGCAACTTCTGGTGTGGTGTCATACTTTGAAGGAAAAAATCAGGCCATTATTAAGTTACTGGTGGAAGAGGACTACATGAGGAGCTTACTAAAGCTTGCATGAGGACTGCAGAACAAATAGGAGCAAAATATCAGAAGAAAACAGAATAAAATTCTGTTTTCCTCTCCTGTTACATTCTTTATGCAAAATTTCCTTTCAACTTTGGTTTGAAGCAAGTAATGTTTACTGGTACTGTTCAGGGTGGGGACTATCCTCAGATAAAAGAGGTTCTAGTGGTTCTTCTCCTTGTCATAAATTTTACAGATTTAGTTATTTTGTAACACATAAATTTCTGGGTCCTACAGCTCTTATTGTGACTCTTTACAGAGAGAAAAGCAGCTATTGTCAACACCAGTGAGCAAGTCAACCTTGGAAGTACAAGATTATAGTTGCAGAAACAAAACTATGTCCTTGCCAATACACCCTCTTCTCCACAAATTCTACAACCTGTATTTAACATTGTGATTGTCAATGTATTATACAATTCTCTTTTCCTGTTCATTCTTAAAGGAATCATCAAAAATATCCTTCAGCCAAGCTCTGTGGATTCCCAGACTACAATGGTCCTGGTTAATGCCATTTACTTCAAAGGAATGTGGGAGAAAGCATTTAAGGATGAAGACACTCAAGCCATGCCTTTCAGAATGACCGAGGTACATGGGCATGCATCACCTTAAAGATGTCACCTAGAAGTTGTGAAGAGAGTAGTCACCGTGTTATTCAGACACTACATTAAAATATCTGCTCATCTGTCTATTTCTCTTCTTTGTTAATCACAGGGAGTTTTCCCTAATGTCTCTCTCTTCACACTATTTCTAAAACTATAACGCTTCTAAGAAAAAAAAAAAAAACAACAAAACTTGAAATACCAACTTTCCTTTGAAAAAGTCATTCTGGACTAGAGCAATCAGTCATTTTAACCGTAACTAGATATTTCTGCCATCTAGGAATAATCTTTGTTAAAACTATATTCTCTTTTTTGGTTCTGCAGCAAGAGAGCAAACCCGTCCAGATGATGTACCAGGTTGGTTCATTTAAAGTGGCCATGGTGACTTCTGAGAAAATGAAGATCCTGGAGCTTCCGTTTGCCAGTGGAATGATGAGCATGTTTGTGCTGTTGCCTGATGAAGTCTCTGGCCTGGAGCAGGTATGATCCTAGCAGTTGGGTTCAGAAAATCATAAACACAATGAAATTTAGCTGTTGCAAAGCCCTTCTCAGTAAAGTTATCATAAAACATTCACCAGCACAGATTTGAACACTAACAACATATGATTATTGCTTAGAAGCATACAATTGTCTCAGTGGGTCCTGCAATAGTTTGTGCTGAGCGTGGATTGCTTAAGAAATACTTAACAGGTTAAATGTTGGCCACAGAAGAAATGATTCTCTCAGCTAAGCAGCTGTTACTGCAGTGACTTGAGCTCCAGAGGCCTTATATCTCCATTCCTGCACATTGAGGAGCTTCTTTGGAAGTTCACGTTGTCTTTACTGGTTCTAATGATTGATATAGAAATGGCAGTGAGTCTATTAAAGAAAGAGAAAATAGGACAGAGCAGAGTCATACTATACTTTGGTCTCCTAGATCCATTCATCTTTACATGCCTAGGAAAAGCACAATGCCAAGAGCAGTCAGTTTAAAAGACAAAGAACCCCCCAATGGTGAATGGTACTGCACTGCTGTGAAGAAAGTTGTCATCCCATGGATATCATTCTCTTGTATCCTTGCAGCTCGAGTCCACAATCAGCTTTGAAAAACTTACAGAATGGACCAGTTCTACTATGATGGAAGAGAGAAGGATGAAAGTGTACCTCCCCCGCATGAAGATGGAGGAGAAATATAACCTCACATCTGTCTTCATGGCCTTGGGTATGACAGACCTGTTCAGCTCATCAGCCAATATGTCTGGCATCTCTTCAACAGTAAGCTTAAAGATGTCTGAGGCTGTCCATGCAGCATGTGTGGAAATCTTTGAAGCCGGCAGAGATGTGGTAGGCTCAGCAGAGGCTGGGATGGATGTTACAAGCGTCTCCGAAGAATTTAGGGCTGACCACCCATTCCTCTTCTTCATCAAGCACAACCCAACCAACAGCATTCTCTTCTTTGGCAGATGGATGTCCCCTTAAAGAAAAGGAAGTTGAAAGAGTTTCTGCCCCCTTACAGCAAGACCCCAAGCACTGTAGTACCAAGGGTAAAAACGAAAGGCATATTTTCTGTCACAGCCATATAAAAACAAACAAACAAACAAACACCATAAATCTGAGAGAAATTACAATGTGAGAATGTGCACCCTTTGCCTTTCCTTTATGTATCATGGATGAAGGGTTAAGGGAATGAAAACTGCACCCAAAGAAAGCATAATCATGAACAGAGATGTTCCTGGTGCAAACTAACATTTCAGTAGTAGTACTGAATCATTGGAATCATCACACTGAAAAATACAACCTGATTTACCAGCAGAAGTCTTATGGGGGAAAATTCAGCCTTCCAATTAAGCATGACCAGGCTTTGTGGTGACTCCTCCAGAATTAGTCAAAGCTCTCAGATTAAACTATGATTGTCACCAACCCTTCCTATGCTGACAAGGCAATTGCTTTTCCTTTGTGCTCCTGGTGCTGCAGGGCTCTTCCTCACTTTTCTAAGATGCCTTATAGAAATCTTATAATTCACATTTCTCCTTCAACTTTTTTGGCTCAATCATCATGACCAAATATGGCATGTTACTATTCAAATTGTTTTTCTTGTATTCACATGTCATGGGTCTTGTGTATGTACTCTTTTACTCCTTTAATCTCAATAAAAACATGTTTAAGCAAACACATCTCGTTTGTAGTATTTCAAATGCAGTAAGGGCTTTTATCAGAGAAGGAAGGACCTATGCAGAGGAATAAGCATGACACACAGGCTGGAAGTAACTCCACAGAAGTCCTGCTAAGTGGTGAGAGGCGAACAAGAGTCTGTGGGGTGCTTCTGCAGCTATTGAAACTAACCATGTATAGGGCTGTATCAGCTAAAAAAGCATGGGGAGGGAAGGAAGCACTGCTTCGCCTTTCTAAGCACGACTTGTGAGACCTGGTCTGGAGCACTGTGTCCAGTTTGCTGCTGCCCTGCTCTTGGTTGGGGTGATGGGACAGGCCTGGGCTGCCAGGAGCTACCCGAGGAGATGTCTCAGCTCAGATTTGCTCAACAACAGAGCAAATTCTGTTCACACTGACTACAATGGTCCTGGTTAATGCAACAAATTCCGAAATTGGTGGCTGATGGTAGCAGCAGTCAGGTTGTCCTCTCTGTCACCCGAGAGGGCTAGTGTGCAGAAATGAATAGGTTTTGGTGGCATGTGGCCACTGGGCAGCACCAGAGACACTCAGGCTGGGAAGAACAGGGCGTGAAGTAAAACACTGCCTCCAAGCCACCTCTTCCTCCTCTATGACTGTATCGTGCCTGAAGGCTCTTCTGGCAGGGCTGGGTTTGTCCAAAAAAGCCTCTGCCACCCTCACCCACTGATGGTACTGCCACAGGAACAGGGTGGGAAGGGTCTGGTCACAGCTGGAAGGGGCTTCTTTTCAAAGCAGGACCCCATTTTCCTTTCATTGCTGCTGCTGCAGAAGAAAGGGGTGCAAGGACCAAGAGCTTGAGAGGAGAGTGACTAAACCATGCTGGAGACACTTGCACTGACACCTCAGGCCATGGGGTGGGACACAGCAGGATTGTGACATGCACACTGGCTGTAGAGCCTGATGCTTGGATCAGAAGGTTCAAAACAGCAAAAGAGCATGTGTTTGTACTAATTGTTTGCTCTGATTGCCTGCTAAACTGTTTGAACATTTCCACAGGAAATTCCCTGATTCATTTCTCATTGTTTTGCACAGGCATTTCCCAGCTAGAAAATAAGTTTAGACCGAGCATTACTTGTGAAAGCACATAATTGTGTAGATGAAAAGGCTAAAATGCACTGCTCAGCAGCTGGGAGAGAGGGAAGGAAGATGTCAGAGAAGCAGCCCTGCAGACCCCAAGGTCGCTGCAGGAGGGCAGGAGGTGCACCAAGCAGGAGGGCAAGCGGTGCACCGTTGCCATTCATTCCACAACCTGATTTATGCTGCCATCCGCGCACTTGCACAGTGCCATGAAAGGTTTGGCGTGCACAGAGGTGGCTGAGGATTTTCAGAAAGAACTTGCCTTAAGAACTGCATCAAGACTTTTGCTGGAAGGCAAAAGATCGGCGGACTGATTAACTTAGGGATGGCAGCTGAGCAAGGGAAGCATCTTCCAAACTTCCAAATATTTCCTGGATACAGAATTACAACTCCTCTGCTCTCCGCTTAGGAGTTTCCGTCACCTGCTTAGGAAGCAGAAGCAGTAAGATGGGATTTAGAGGATCCAGCTGAAGCGTCAGTGCCAGTTAGAGGAAACCAGGTAGAGGGTTTGAAGAGAGTTCATAGAATCATAGAATCATAGAATATCCTGAGTTGGAAGGGACCCTTAAGGACCATCAAGTCCAACTCTTGACACCGCACAGGTCTACCCAAAAGTTCAGACCATGTGACTAAATGCACAGTCCAATCTCTTAAATTCAGTCAGGCTCAGTGCAGTGACCACTTCCCTGGGGAGCCTGTTCCAGTGTGCAATCACCCTCTCTGTGAAGAACCCCTCCTGATGTCAAGCCTAAACTTCCCCTGCCTCAGCTTAACCCCGTTCCCGCGGGTCCTGTCGCTGGTGTTAATGGAGAAAAGGTCTCCTGCCTCTCGACACCCCCTTACGAGGAAGTTGTAGACTGCGATGAGGTCTCCCCTCAGCCTCCTCTTCTCCAGGCTGAACAGGCCCAGTGCCCTCAGCCGTTCCTCGTACGTCTTCCCCTCCAGGCCTTTCACCATCTTTGTAGCCCTCCTCTGGACACTCTCCAAAAGTTTCATGTCCTTTTTATACTGTGGTGCCCAGAACTGCACACAGTACTCGAGGTGAGGCCTCACCAGCGCAGAGTAGAGCGGGACAATCACCTCCCTTGACCTACTAGCGATGCCGTGCTTGATGCACCCCAGGACACGGTTGGCCCTCCTGGCTGCCAGGGCACACTGCTGGCTCATATTCAACTTGCTGTCTACCATGACCCCCAGATCCCTCTCTTCTAGGCTGCTCTCCAGCGTCTCATCGCCCAGTCTGTACGTGCAGCCAGGGTTTCCCTGTCCCAGGTGCAGGACCCGGCACTTGCTCTTATTGAACTTCATGCGGTTGGTGATCGCCCAGCTCTCCAACCTATCCAGATCCCTCTGCAAGGCCTTTCCACCCTCATTCGAGTCCACAACTCCTCCAAGTTTGGTGTCATCAGCAAACTTGCTCAAAATACCTTCTATTCCTACATCCAGATCGTTTATAAAAATATTGAAAAGTACCGGCCCTAAAATGGAGCCTTGAGGGACCCCACTGGTGACTGCCCGCCAGCCTGACGCAGCCCCATTCACCATAACCCTTTGGGCCCTGCCCGTTAGCCAATTGCTCACCCATCGTATGATGTTTTTATTTAGATGTATGGTGGACATTTTGTCCAGTAGGATCCTATGGGAAACCGTGTCAAAAGCCTTGCTGAAGTCCAAAAAAATCACATCAGCTGGTTTCCCTTGGTCCACCATACAGGTGATCTTATCATAAAGGAAATCAGGTTAGTTAGGCAGGACCTACCCTTCACAAACCCATGCTGGCTGGGACCAATGACTGCTTTGTCCCCCAGGTGCGCCTCAATAAGTTCGAGAACCATCTTCTCCATGATTTTACCAGGCACTGACGTGAGACTGACAGGCCTGTAATTGCTAGGGTCTTCTTTCTGACCCTTCTTGAAAATCGGCACAACATTTGCCAGCTTCCAGTCTACCGGGACCTCTCCAGACTCCCAGGATCGTTGAAAAATAATTGAGAGAGGTAGAGAGGTTCCGCGATGACGTCCGCCAGCTCTTTCAGCACCCAGGGATGAATCCCATCCGGACCCATGGACTTGTAGGGGTCCAGGTGGAGTAGCAAATCCCACACACGTTCAGGGTCAGTTGGGAGTTTGTCATCCCCACTGTCCCGGTCCTCCAGCTCAGGGCACCCTGGGTCCCGAAGCCCATCATCGGCATTGAAGACAGAGGCAAAGAAGGCGTTAAGCGTCTCTGCTTTGCCTATGTCATTGTCTGTGAAGAGACCTTCCCTATCAAGGAGCGGCCCTATGTATTCTTTAGTTCTCCTTTTTCCATTCACATATCTAAAAAAACCCTTTTTATTTTCTCTCACAGACACAACCAGCTTCAACTCTAGGTGTGCTTTAGCCACACGAATTTTCTTCCTACAAACACGAACAGCATCCCTGATGCTGTTGGACCGGTTTTCAAAGGAACATGTACTAGTGCTGCATATCTATGCATGTAAATATCTCTACAGCTGGCTTGTATCAGAACTAGAGTAGCCATCAGGACTAGGGAAGCGGTTGTCCCTCTGTGCTCGGCTCTGGTGAGGCCGCACCTCGAGCACTGTGTTCAGCGAAGACCTTGAGGTGCTGGAGCGTGTCCAGAGAAGGGCTCTGAAGCTTGTGAAGGGTTTAGAGAACAAGTCTGGTGAGGAGCGGCTGAGGGAGCTGGGCTTGTTCAGCCTGGAGAAAAGGAGGCTCAGGGGAGCCCTTCCTGTGCTCTACAGGAAGCTGAAAGGAGGCTCCAGAGAGGTGGGGATCGTTCTCTTCTCCCAAGCCCCAAGTGACAAGACAAGAACAAAAAACCCCAAGTTGTACCAGGGGAGGTTTCGGTTGGTTATGACGAAAAATTTCTTCACCGAAAGAGTTGCTCTGGTGGATTTACGTGGCAAGGTTTTGGTAGCAGGGGGCCATAGGGGTGGCTTCCGTGAGAAGAATCTAGAAGCTGCCCCCCGTTAGAGAACGGCTCCACTGCTGGCCAGAGCCAAGCCAAGAAACGATGTCGCTTGTTCCTCTGGGAGAGCATATTGAAGAAAGGAGGACAAAAGTAACAGCAAAAAGCTGTTTCCCAGGGAGGAAAGAGAGGAGAAGCAGCCCTGCAGCCCCCCAGGTGAGTGCAGCAGGAGGGCAGGAGGCAGCAGCAGTTCCCCTGCGGGCTGTGCAGGGAGAGGCCCCCGGTGGAGCAGGCTGTCCCCCTGCAGCCCATGGGTCCCCCATGGAGCAGATCTCCACGCTGCAGCCCCCCCGTGGGTGGAGGAGCCCCCGGTGGAGCAGGTGGATGTGGCCTGGAGGAGGCTGCGGCCCATGGAGAGCCCCCGCAGGGCAGGAGCAGGCCCCGGGCCGCAGCTGCAGCCCCCCCGTGGAGAGGAGCCCCCGCAGGAGCAGGGGGTCTGGGGGGAGCTGCCGCCCAGCCGTGGGGGACCCGTGCTGGAGCAGTTTGCTCCTGGGGGATGGATGGATGGATGGATGGATGGATGGATGGATGGATGGATGGATGGATGGATGGATGGATGGATGGATGGATGGAGCCCGTGGGACGGAGCCGTGTGGGAGCAGTGCTTGAGGAGCTGCTGCCTGTGGGCAGCCCCTGCAGGATCAGCTGGGGAAGGACGGCATCCCGTGGGAGGGACCCCACGGGGAGCAGGGGCAGGGAGGGACCCTGAGGGTCACTCTGCTGAGTCTGCTTTGCCCGTCACCATACTTGTTGAGCCATCGCCCTGTCCTTATCTCAGCCCTGGAGCCCTTGGCATCGTATTTTCTCCCCCTTTCCCTTTGAGGAGGGGGAGTGAGAGAGCGGCCGTGCTGGAACTCGGCTGCCCACCCGCTTCCAACCACCGCAGTTGCAAAGTCCTGGGAAAGATTTCTTTCAAGAAATTAAACAAGGTGTTTAACAAAGAAATGCAGAGTTTCCTTTTGAAGGCTTCCTGGAGAATTGGGCTTCTTTCCTATTCCCAGCTCAGAGGAAGGGAATTGTTGATTTCACCTTCTTTTTTCTGACATGGAAATCAAAGGTGAACTACTCTACAAGGACGGGCAACGTCTCAGAATCAAGCTCTTTTGCTCTGTAGTCCTTTCGCAAGGAAAAGATTGATCACACACCTTCCTTCCACAGACGTAGGGGAGCAGAGAATAATTTGGGAACTACTCTAATTCAAGTCAGTTTGGGCATAGTGGTACTTCCCTAGCTGTTTCTGAGACAGACGCATTAGCAACAGAGAGTGTCGTGCCGTCACTGGGAGGCGCCTGCGGTGATGACTTCAGAAACAGAAGGGAATTGTGTCACCACAGCACTGTGGCAACAGCTGCCTCCGTGCACGTTTAGCTGGGAGGCACAGAGAAGGGTGCTGGATGCGATGAAACCACGTGAGGATTTGTGCATCTCCCCTTGAGGTGCACAGAGAGGGACCATGCCCTTCTGTAAGTGTTTTGATGCTTGGCTGAGGAAAAAAATGGGGTTTTGTTGTGAATGCTTCCTTGTAGTATTCTGTAGTTTGTGTCAAGTCCTTACAGAAGCCTCAAGGTTGGTACTTTGCTCAATGATGGAGCTGCACAGAGTGAGAACAGACCCAATGTACGGCTGAGGGCCTCTGCACGCTCTCTTCTTCCTACAGACGATCAACAAATAAGGGGAGACAGAGAAGAGTGTGCTGTGGTCCTCCCATAGACCGCAAGTACTAAAGCATAAACAAGAGGCTTAAGAGTCCCCCTGTCATGTTAAAATTCAGGACAGCAATGGACTTCCTCACACGGGCTGGCCTGTCGACTAGTGTCTCAGGCTGTGGCGTATGAAGATGCACTCCATCTGCTTTCAGGGTAGCAATGGCAGTGGGCAAGCTGCCTGACCTTAACATTTGTCATTTCATTTTTCACCTGAGTTTTGGTGGTTCTCCACGACTCATTCTTGGTCTAGAAAAAAAAAAAAAAAAAAAAAAAAAAAAGTGAATTTGGATCAAAATAAAAGGATAAAAGGATTTCCTTTCCATTAATTACATGTTCTTAACTTAACTAAAAAAAGTGAACTGCGATGAAAATAAAAGGATTTCCTTTCCATTCATTACATGTTCTTACCTTTGGAACAGATTTGGTTATTGACTTAGAAGGCAAATATCTGGCCAGACTGCAAGACTTGTGCTCGCAGCGTGGGACAGCTCTCGTAAAGGTGAGTCAGGGCAGTTTCTGGAAAACAAGACATCAGATCTCCAAAACACTTTCTTTGTGCTAATGTAGGAAGGGCGAGTAAGTGTAAAGGTAAGAGCCCAGATACCGTAAGAAGCAGAAAGTGTGAAGGAAACTTCCTTCTGGCTGATACAGCTCCATATCTAGTTGTCAAGTATGAAGAGAGCAGTGCTAAGTTTCTTGGGGAGAGGTAAAAAAGAAGAGACTGGGAGATTGTAAAAGGAAAAAGTGGGATTCCCTATTTCAGGAAATCCTAGGAACTGGAAATAGAGATTGGAAGAGTGCTTTAAGCCAAGACAGACACGTTTTAAAACTAAAACCTAGGAGTTGAATGAACCAAGAAATGAATCCATTTTGATTCTGAAGTTGTGTCCAGTGTTATCTTGGGAAATATGGTTTCCACATAAAAGGTATCTGGGGCTTGAAGTTCTCCTAAGGCCCTTCTCTGTGTATTCCCTACTGTTTGGTAAGCGGTGAGGTCACACTGCAGACAGCAGCACGTCCTCTCCCCACTACTTAGCTGTCTGTTCTCACAACACGTCTAGGAACAGAATGGCTTGGACACAACTGCGCCTAGGACCGAGTTCATTCAAGCTGGTGGACGAGGTAAAAGCTCTGGACAAGCGAAGGGGAGGGAGGGATGGGTGGACATACAATATGATCTCTTTAATCTCATTTCTCTAAGAATCCTGGCTGAGAAAACAAAACAAAACAGAATCAAAAAGAACAGAACAGAACAGAACAGAACAAATGAAGCAAGCAGCTAGCTTGCTGGAGACATTGTCTGGGAAGCAGTGAAAACACTTGCAAACAAAAACACATCAAAAGACTAACTCTTTGAGCTTAATTCTAATCCAACAGCATAACCTCAAAGTCCTGTTTCTGTTCATAACAGGCTGGTACCGTAACATGTCCCATTGGATGACTTTGCAGCATAGATGTCAGGAATGCAGCTTGGGATCCCCTCCTTCTACTCAGAGTTCACTTTGAAGGGATGAGCAAGTCATTCTTCCTGGGTTGACGGAAATCTAAAGTCTGTTTTCTAACACTCTTGCAGACGCTTCTCTGTCCATCGGCCTGTCCTGCCAACTCTGGTGTGAGTGTGAAGTTGTGGCAAGAGGGATTTCCCATTGCTATTTGAGCTGGTGATGGACACCAGCTTTCCTCGGAAATGGCTGATGTTGCTGAGGAGGCAGCAGTATCAAAGCCCTTGCTGATGAAGGTACAACAAGCTGGGGAGGCTTTGGCATTTCTGCACAACGCTGCTCCCTGACTGTCACTCCAGACTCAGATTCGGAAAGAAGCAAAGCAAGCGAGAGGAAAACTGGATGTCCTGGTAATTTTCTTTTTCTTTTCTTTCTTCATTCTTCACTTGTAAGAAAATCTAAATCTTAACCCTTTGTTTGAAAACACGGCTTTATGGAAATGCTTCTGGGTGTGCTCCTTCCCCTTGTGTGGAACCTGCTTCACCTCGCTTCAGCTCTAGGACACCTATGCACCAATTTATGCTTCCCATGATAAAGCGGCGTTCTTTCGCTATTCTTTTCTGTGATGCTTGCAGGCGAGGTTGAAAAGAGTTGTCAGTAGGATTCTTCGTTTCCTTTGCAGGATCCAAAGCTCCGTATTACCGTGGATCTTCTCCTCTGATCTGGAAAGCTTCACAGGCCAAAAGAGAATTGAGATGAAGAAGGAAATAGAGAATGCTGACCAATATTGCCAAGTGCCACCCGTAAGTTTTGGGAAAGAATCCGGTGCATTTCTGTAGTGGTAGAAAGTTCATCAAATCATCGTCGTGCACTTGAAGGCAAGCAATGCTGTAAAAATGAAGAACGCAAGGCCCTGCTTAAGGACAATCTTCAGGCTGCTTCTAGATCAACAGCTTATTTGCTTCTTCCACACCCTCATCTCCGCTTGCTTAGAAGTTGTGAAGGTCGGAAGCACACTCCGCCTTTTTCATCCCCTCTGCGTATCTTTTCCCTGACAGCAACTTCTGTCTTGGCTCTTCACATCCAGCCAGAGCAGTTGCTTTGCCTCCGCAACCTGCAGGCTGACCTCTCGTGTGTACCTGTGCTGGACTGAGGGTAATGCTTGTAACGCACACAGATGCTGCATTCACTGTGACTTTTAGAAAAGAGAGCAAGAAGCTAACCTGCACAGCAGACTCTTAGGTTTCTGTATCTCTCTCTCTCTCTCTCTCTCTCTCTCTCTCTCTCTCTATCTGCATATATATTTCAGTACTTATTTACTTCTTTAAAGATACCTTCAATAGAATAGATCCTTTAAGAAAGCTTACTTGTTCTTCCCCTTTCCTTGTTTTTAACGTTTGCTTTTCTAACCAATCCTTAATGTTACAACATTGGATTGATGCAGTACTCAGTCCTTAGAAGTTCTCAAAGCACATCAGTGATTTCTCTATTTCTCAACCTTTCCATCTTCATTGAGATCTCTCATCTGAATTTAGGTATGAGGTGCAGAAGAACACTGCAAGCAGCTGAAGCCGTATCAGACACATGCTTCTGCTAGGAAGTCATTCCGAGTGATTCCACGGTGTACTTTAGACAGGTTTGCTCTGGTCCTCTGGACTCAGCATCCCCAAGGGATATTTCAAAGCTCTCAGAAGGACCTGTCATTATCTCTGACACTGCAGCCTCCAGTAGGAAGGGGTAAATATTCCTTGCCCTTGTGCAAAGGAACTACTCAGTTAGCTGTTTCTAACCCAAATCTCGTTGTTGTCTTCTAGTGACAGACACCACCCGGCTAGCCAAGCTAAAGCACTGAAAATGGAAGGAGTGGGACATCTTCCAAAGCCTGCTGCTGCTTCTAAGCAGAACTGCGCTGTAGGTGGGGACACAGCAAGAGGACACGTCCAGGCCACGGTGGAACTGCAAGGCGCCTGTCTGAGCCACACAACGAAGTCAGCGATTCCCAGTTGGAGACTGTTGCTCGACCAGTGACACAGCAGCTGGAGCGCTTCTGGTTGCTGCTGATGGGTTCCCGTGAATCAGCCAGGGATAGGAGCTATGAGAACGCCTGAAGCGATTTGAAGTTACCCGAAAGAAAGAAGAGAGGAGAGAAGAAGACAAGAGGGGAGGGAAGGGGAGGGAATAAAGGAAGGGAGGGGAGGGGAAGGGAGGGCAGGGCAAGGGGAGGGTAGGCTAGGCTAGGATAGGCTAGGATAGGCTAGGATAGGATTGGGTAGGATAGGATAGGGTAGGGTAGGGTAGGATAGGGTAGGGTAGGACAGGACAGGACAGGACAGGATAGGATAGGATAGGATAGGATAGGATAGGATAGGATAGGATAGGATAGGACAGGACAGGATAGGATAGGATAGGATAGGATAGGATAGGATAGGATAGGATAGGATAGGATAGGATAGCGTAGTGTAGCGTGTTAGAGGGGAGGGGAGCATAGGAGAGTATAGGGTAGTGTAGGGGATAGGAGTTTAGGGGAGTGTAGGGTAGGATACCGGAGGGGAGTGTAGGAGTGTGTAGGGTAGTACAGGGGAGGGAGTGTAGCAGAGCGTAGGGACAGGGAGCATAGAGGAGGGGATGGTAGGGGAGGGGAGGAGACGGGAGGGGAGGGGAGGGGAGGGGAGGGGAGGGGAGGGAGGGGAGGGGAGGGGAGGGGAGGGGAGGGGAGGGGAGGGGAGGGGAGGGGAGGGGAGGGGAGGCAAGAGAGGGGAGGGGAGGGGAGGGGAGGGGAGGGGAGGGGAGGGGAGGGTAAAGGAGGGGGAGGGGAGGGGAGGGGAGGGGAGGCAAAAGAGGGGAGGGGAGGGGAGGGGAGGCAAATGAGGGGAGGGTAGGGGAGGCAAAGAGGGAGGGGAGGGGAGGGGAGGGGAGGGGAGGGTAAAGGAGGGGAGGGGAGGGGAGGGGATGAGAGGGGAGGCAAAAGAGGGGAGGGGAGGGGAGGGAGGGGAGGGGAGGGGAGGGGAGGGGAGGGGAGTGCTACCATAAATAAATTTGCCAAATACATGACATTTTGGATCTGGAGCCAAATCTTTGTGTACATGTCCTCTCCCCATAGCCCCACGTGCTGTCCACGCACCCGAATCTATCATACTGTTGCTCAGAAAGAACAGGGGAGCATAGGGGAGGGCAGGGAGTGGAGGGAAGGGGAAAGAGGGGATGGGAGGGGTGGGGAGCGCTACCATCAATAAAATTGCCAAATACAATGAAGGAGCAGCAGAGCCTGCAACCTCCATTCCCCAACATCCTCCAACCACCCCCCACTGCTCCGTGGGAAATAGATAGAAGAATCAAGACTGAGGTTTAGCCTGGGATGGAGGTAGTGTGGCGAGGTGGTTTTCTGCTTGGTTGGTTGGTTGGTTGGTTGGTTGGTTGGTTGGTTTTAAAGTTTTTAAATTCTCACTGTCCTACTTTGTGATCAGTTGGCAATAAATTCAATTACTCTTCCCCAAGCCAAGTCTGTTTTGTCCATGAAGCCATCTTCCAGTCCTGAAATAAGAAAGGAAACAGACCTGCAAGCACCTGTTACACAAGTGCAGGAAGAGTGACAAAGGAGGGTTTTGAGGCATGAAGTTACTGCAAGGATGCTCTGCTCTTTCCTCACTTCAGTATGAAAAGCATGGCACTAGTGGGTGGTCCTTGGTGGTAGTTGTTTTTTTGTTGTTTGATTGTTTGTTTTTTGTTTTGTCAGCTCCACCCCACAGTATTTTGCTTGTTCTACTTGTTTTGGTGTGCCCCCATTCCCTCCCTCAAGGTAAAACATCCCTAGAGGCCATAACTTGCTGTTAGCAAACAAGATCTTGCAAAAGAGTGAAGTTAACATGGCACCACCTGCACTGGTGTATAAATAGCTCAAATATTTTCCCTCACTTTCCTGTAACTTTCCTGTAAATTGCTGGTCAGGAGATAACAAGTGGAGAAATTTCGGATAAGAGAGAGAAAGTTGTGTTTTACTATTGCCCTGGAGTTTCTGTTGGTCTGGCCACGGAAATGGAGTACTCAAAATCCTCAGGACACTCCGTTTATACCAGATTTATCCTAAAACTGCAGTATTTCTAGGCCCTTGGGATTCTTATCAATTAAAACATACTTTTTCACGCACAGAAGATGCAAAAAAGTGCGTCTCCTGCAGTATGCAGACAGAGCCAGTCCTGTCTCTTGATTCCTTCTGCTTCTGCCTGAAGAGCAGCAGACAATCGAGTTTCTTGTCTTCAGTAGCTACGGCCTTAACCAACTGTGCAGTCTGTCCATTCATCCACAGAGGAGGAAAAATAGCATGGAATAACTCCTCTCCTTTGTGCTAACAGAGGAGGGTACAGCTTCCTCACTCCAACCCCACCGAGGCAAAGCAGTCAGCAGTGCACGCCAGAGCCTCTGTCTCTTCCCCGTCTCCTGATGTGCAGCTGGATCACTCTCCCTTCTAGCCCCAGGATGGCTTTCAGCACACTCACAGAAGGGTCAGACTCACAGCTTGAGGACCCATCAGAAGAGGCTTTCACTCTTCTGCCACCACACCCCCTATACACATGCAATTTCACACATGCAAAGAGACACCATGGATTAGGGAGTTGCACAGAGAGGAGACCACACCCGTTTGCCTGCCTGCCTGCAGGTTGACACCAGTAGGGAGGTAATTCACCTCAGGAGTTTCCAGAGAGATGACAGAATATGGCCCTAGGCTCCTGCTGCTTCTTTCAGCCCTGACTCTTCAAATCCATAGGAACGCAAGAAACATTCCCAGCCAAGTGCTGCATATCTTGAAGGCTGGAGAAGCCACAGCCTTCTGCTTCATTTCATTTTAAAGATCAAGCCCAAGGTCACTCCCATAGAAGTAGTGGAAGCCATCTGGCTGGCTTGGCTTTCTCTCCAAAGAAGACCAAATGAGAGTTGGTCCCAGGTGAGGATGAGCCCTGACAGTTCCTGCATTTTGGTTCTCCTGCAGCCCACAAAGCTCTCACTGCCTTGCCTGAATTTTAACCCCTTTGGAACCAAATCTACAGATGATCTCTGTCAATCCAAAACAGCGCTTATTCACCATGTGAACAACAAATGCCTGGCATGGTTAACAGCACTTAGGTGCAAAGGTCAGATAGATGTAGCTGCATGTTACACATTTTTAGTCTGAATAGCACAATTTATCCTTTGACTCCATTTTGCTGTCATGTGGATATCAATTTGCAATCATTTGGTCTGTCCTCCCTTTGGTGGCTTCCGTGAGAAGAAGCTAGAAGCTGCCCCCCGTTAGAGAACGGCTCCACTGCTGGCCAGAGCCAAGCCAAGAAACGATGTCGCTTGTTCCTCTGGGAGAGCATATTGAAGAAAGGAGGACAAAAGTAACAACAAAAAGCTGTTTCCCAGGGAGAAAGAGAGGAGAAGCAGCCCTGCAGCCCCCCAGGTGAGTGCAGCAGGAGGGCAGGAGGCAGCAGCAGTTCCCCTGCGGGCTGTGCAGGGAGAGGCCCCCGGTGGAGCAGGCTGTCCCCCTGCAGCCCATGGAGCAGATCTCCACGCTGCAGCCCCCCCGTGGGTGGAGGAGCCCCCGGTGGAGCAGGTGGATGTGGCCTGGAGGAGGCTGCGGCCCATGGAGAGCCCCCGCAGGGCAGGAGCAGGCCCCGGGCCGCAGCTGCAGCCCCCCCGTGGAGAGGAGCCCCCGCAGGAGCAGGGGGTCTGGGGGGAGCTGCCGCCCAGCCGTGGGGGACCCGTGCTGGAGCAGTTTGCTCCTGGGGGATGGATGGATGGAGCCCGTGGGACGGAGCCGTGTGGGAGCAGTGCTTGAGGAGCTGCTGCCTGTGGGCAGCCCCTGCAGGATCAGCTGGGGAAGGACGGCATCCCGTGGGAGGGACCCCACGGGGAGCAGGGGCAGGGAGGGACCCTGAGGGTCACTCTGCTGAGTCTGCTTTGCCCGTCACCATACTTGTTGAGCCATCGCCCTGTCCTTATCTCAGCCCTGGAGCCCTTGGCATCGTATTTTCTCCCCCTTTCCCTTTGAGGAGGGGGAGTGAGAGAGCGGCCATGCTGGAACTCGGCTGCCCACCCGCTTCCAACCACCGCAGTTGCAAGTCCTGGGAAAGATTTCTTTCAAGAAATTAAACAAGGTGTTTAACAAAGAAATGCAGAGTTTTCCTTTTGAAGGCTTCCTGGAGGATTGGGCTTCTTTCCTATTCCCAGCTCAGAGGAAGGGAATTGTTGATTTCACCTTCTTTTTTCTGACATGGAAATCAAAGGTGAACTGCTCTACAAGGACGGGCAACGTCTCAGAATCAAGCTCTTTTGCTCTGTAGTCCTTTCGCAAGGAAAAGATTGATCACACACCTTCCTTCCACAGACGTAGGGGAGCAGAGAATAATTTGGGAACTACTCTAATTCAAGTCAGTTTGGGCATAGTGGTACTTCCCTAGCTGTTTCTGAGACAGACGCATTAGCAACAGAGAGTGTTGTGCCGTCACTGGGAGGCGCCTGCGGTGATGACTTCAGAAACAGAAGGGAATTGTGTCACCACAGCACTGTGGCAACAGCTGCCTCCGTGCACGTTTAGCTGGGAGGCACAGAGAAGGGTGCTGGATGCGATGAACCACGTGAGGATTTGTGCATCTCCCCTTGAGGTGCACAGAGAGGGACCATGCCCTTCTGTAAG